GAGAATCTGCCAATTTGTCCGACAAACAAACCAGACAGGAGAGTAGATTAACGTTGGTGAACTTGGAACTTGAAAAATGGTGTGTATTGACGTCCATCCGCCATTGAAATAAGATACATGCTGATGTTCATTCATGTTTATTTTGTGTTATAACTAGTAAAGAGGAAGAGATGATCGGTTCACGTGCTGCTTGAACTGAGGCACTACAGCAGTCTGTCAAGATACGTTAAAGAGCCACAAAACGGTATTTATTGTTTGAATTTCTTAAAAAATGACATGGCTTGTAGGACGTAGCAACAGTAACTAAGGGGGCGGGTCTTTGCGAAGGGTCAGTTGCTTACATTGTTCCTCATTTGTATTGTATTAAGCTCTCATGATTTAAATCATTGTGTTTTAATAATTGTTTGTTGTGCTTTAAAGAAGTACACTTATTTTGATGTGTTGACATATACTAAAGCACATGTAAAGTAACTGATTATAATTTTAACTGTAATGTGTTTTTGGATATTACATTTACAGTTAATACATTTAAAATGTGTTAAATTACAACTTAATAATTACAAATGTGTCATTACAAATATATTTAAATACATGAAATACAACTTTCAATTGAAATTACATTACCGTAAATGCTTGTCAGTACATTCGGCAGTAAACTTGAAACATATTTTAAAGATAATAGAAAAAATTACATATAAGAATGTATTTAAGTCCTACTTAAGTGGTTCAAAAAAGAAAAAGAAATAAAAAACCTAAACTATTTGCATATAATATAAATTTAAACTATAATGAATTTTCATTGAATTTCATTTTCAATGAAATAATGAGTAAAAATAAATGCACTGAGCACACAAATGACCTATTGCATGTGCTAAACTAGTTTGATGGTCTCCCAACCTGGTCAAGCTGGTCTTTTAGCTGGTTTTAGAAGGATTTTAGTCACTTTTCAGCTGGTCAGACTAGACCACCTTAAACCAGCTACGACCAGCAAACCAGCATTTTAGTATGTCTTTTTTCAGCAGGCAGTATATAGTACATACTATATGCCAGGGGTGGCGAACGTCGGTCCTGGAGAGCCGCAGCCCTGCAGAGTTTTGCTTCAACCCTAATCAAACACACCTGAACAAGCTAATCAAGGTCTGAACAGTTACTAGGAAGCTACAGGCAGGTGAGTTTTAATTAGGGTTGGAGCTGAACTCTGCAGGGCTGCGGCTCTCCAGGACCGGAGTTCGCCACCGCTGCTATATACTATTACATACAACTCAAAAAACAGTATACCATTCCCATCTCTGTGTGTGGTTATTAAGTGTAGATTTGAAGGAGGTCAAGGCAGGCCTGTGGTACGTGCAGTAGGAAGTGACTGTCTCTGGAGACAGGCTTTAATGGGACATCACTCTTGTCTGTGGGAGAACGGAAAGACACAGCTGTTGCATACACACTCCAACACACTGCACAGGAAGCTGAGACTTTTGATTCATATCTCATTGCCTTTTGGAGAGGAACGTGCCCTCTTTAAACATCTGTCACATTTCAGAAATGTATGTCAATCCAAACAGACACTTTCACTCAATGTGTGATTGTTGAAGTGTTCAGTAAATGTTCACTTCCTCTGATGTGTGTTTTTAACGTCTCTCTGTGGTGATGCAGCAATTCTAGACGTCTGACCTTAGCACTGATTGTTAGTAGTGGGGCATTAGTACATGCCGTTGCAAGTTCTCTTTATATGCAAACCATCAGGGGATCGATTTCCACGCCAGCTGATTAACCCATGAGATGAGTGCGGTTTCCATAGAGACACAAAGTCAGTTGATCAAACGTGGCCGATTTAATTGGAAGAACCCTCTGACTTGCGCTCAGCTGTGAGCTTGCTGATTGGTTACTCGGTTGCTGTAAGGCACAGATGACAACCCACTGACCCAGGGAAATTGCTTCCTGTTCATCTGCCCCCAAGACCTGTCATAATGAAACCCTACACAGTTCGTTAGCTATCTGTAAAGGGTATTATTTGATCCTGGGGGGCGTCTTCATCTCATAGGTATATGTGGATACAGTGAGGATCAATTTTTCTCTTCAGAACAGGCTGGTCTCTTCGCTCATCCCTCTGTTCTCACCCAGACACATGGCCTTGTAGCATCCAGACTCAAGATGGCCAGCTTTCTCTTCTTCTCTCACTATGAATTGGCCTCAGTCTGGTGATGAGGAGGGGGTTGGGCAGAAAACTGTGTCCTGATTGTTGTCATATTGGTCAGTTTGTTAAACTGAAGATGTTGCAGAATGTTGTTGCACATCCAGCTTATGTGTGTTGCATTTAAAAATAGTTATGTCAGGATTTAAATGTTGGAATCTGGCTAGTTCAGCCAAAATCTAATGTTCTGTGATCATTTACATGTTTTGTTTTTTAAATTATGTATTGCTTTTCTTTCTGTTCAGTTATAATGAATGGGGACTAGAGCTTTTAAGCTTCAAAAAGGGTACAAAAGCATCATAAAAACAGTGTATAGTACTGTTCAAAGGTTTGGGGTCAAAATGTTTTTGAAAGAAGTCTCTTATGTTCACCAAGGCTGCATTTTTGTGAAATATTATGTTTAATTGTAATTATATTGTGAAATATTACAATGAACAAATTTGATTCCTATTTATTCCTGTGAATGCAAAAGTGAATTTTCAGCAGCCATTACTCCAGTCGTCAGTTTTGGCTTTTTGTAACCAATTGTGATTTACTGGTTTAAGAAAACATACATCACATGATCCTTTAGAAATCATTCTAATATGCTGATTTATTGTGCAAGAAACATTTTTATTGTTAATGTTAAAAACAGTGTTTATTCATATTTTTGTGGAAATTGTGATACATTTTTTAATTTTTTTACAGGACTATTTGATGAATAGCAGGTTTAAAAGAATAGCATTTGAAATAGAAATCTTTTGTAACATTATGAATGTCCTTGCTGTCACTTTTGAAGAATTTAATGTGTCCCTGCTGAATAAAAGTATTAATTTTTTTTTTTTAATCATACTGACCCCAAACTTTTGAACAGTACGACTCAAGTCTTCTGCCACCAGATCATTGTTTCACTGAGAAGGAATCATTCAGACTGCATCTGTAAAAGAGATCACATGATTAATTGAAAAGATGTGACTCAAAGAACAGTTCATTCATGAATATGAATTTGCTACTTCTCTCATGAACTCCTCATGAGCTTGGGCAAATGGCAAGATTTTCAGTGAACAGTGGTCTATTTCTTACATAAAGCTATCACATGATTTCAGATGGAGAATTTGAAATATAGTGCATGAGCTTCCTGTCACAGTGAGTGCAGTGTAGCAACAGATGACATGCACCCTCGTGTCCAGCAAAGAGCCAGGACGCGGCATATGTCGAATGTGTCATTCTCCTCTAACGTGGCCAAAGAGAAGCTGTGAAACTGTTGGTGTTTTATAAGCTAATGGCCTCTTGATTGACACCTATGAAAGCTTTATTATTCTAACCACCTCCTGCTGCAAATATTTCAGCATTTTATGCTACACAGTATGCCGACGATTTCCATAAGGGGTTACAAAATACTGCTGTATTACAATGTTCTTTTTTTAGTGCGCGCTCCTGCAGATGAGTTATTATCAAAGCTTCTGTCAGCAGAAAAACGTATAATAACAGACCATCCACAAAATTCCTTATTGCATTACTCCTGCTCCAGTGCAATTATTTATTCAGGAGATGCCGCTGGCGTTCGCATGAGAATCTTTTAACGGATGCGTTCTCAGCAGCAATCCAGCTGTGCTTTTCCACAAAATCCCGCCTTCTCTGTGACCCCTGGGGAGGAAAGTCTTTGCGGTATGGTTGTCTGTAACTTTAAAGTAACTTTAAGGCAAATACTGTATCTGTAGGTATGGTATTTTTTTCCACACTTTTTTTTCTGTCCCTTGGCAGCCAGATGCTGTACATTTATGGGCACAGAGACACAACTGTAGATATTTGGGGCTGTATACTAAAGGATCCAGATGGACACAGTTCTTACACGTGATCTGGATCTTCATCCATAATGACTCTGGCAAAGAAGTGACCAATGGCTTGCCCAAAGTGTTGCCAAGGACCACAGTTGCTCATCTGGGACTATATCCTTTCCAAACACATTCCCCCATCAAATGGCTTTTCCAGTGCCTTATTTTATATGGCATGAAACATACAATCCTGACATTCCTTGCGAAGGAATCGCTTCCTTTTGGGTCCCATATTTCTTAAACTACAGTTTTATAAGCAGTGCTTGATTTGGGTATTTTAATTATATTTAGAAGGTTAGATATTTGATTGATGATAGACAATGAAAATAGAAAATAGGCAATGAAATCCCTTTGTTGAAAGTTGTAGAGACTTCAGGATGGGCACTTTTGACTTGGGCTAGTAAGCAACCACACAAAATAGTCTAGCAATCTTGTTAACCACCACTTATCACCTTAGCAAATGCATGGCAACCCTTGGCTTTTTGTGGTTTCTACTTCTCTTCATCTGCATGGTCTACTCCCTGAAATGCCATGAAAAACAATCATTAGAGCAAACCATTGCATAAACTATCTTCAGATCACGGTTGCTATAGTTACTCTGGAGCACATTTGTGAGGATCTAGATAAAGTTCTTGGTGCTTGTTCCTCAGACAGAAATGGATGCTGGTGCTCACATGCATTTTAGCAGATGCTTGACATGTGCTCATGCTGAGAGACTCATAAGTGCTGTGCTACTGGGAAACAATGATCCATAGTCTTCATTAGACCATGAATGCAGAATTTATCATCGCTTACAGGGCTGTACGTTAACTTTTTTTTCACATAGCACTGGTGCTACAGAGGTTGAAAGTTTTGTATTGTGATTTACGATCAGTCATTTGTAAGTTTAACTACAGGACTGCACATGTGATGATGTTCTGCACAATGTGCTGTCTGGTACCACAGTATGTGCAGAGCTCCCTTCCTGAATCTAATCGCCCGCTCTCTCTTTTTCCCTGCAGGCAACAATCACCAGAGCCAAACAAGTGTTCAGGTAGGACTCGTTTGTCATTTTTGGTACTGTGAAGTGTACAAGACTTGATTTTTAATAATCTGCTTGTGCTTTTACAGCTTTTTTCCCCCGAAGTGTATTGACATATTTGAGGTTTTTGTGGTAGGTCTTTTCCAGTTGAATCTAGTATATAAATATATGTAAGGAGTGTTTTATTATGATATCCAAATTTGTATCTTACTCCGACACATACAGAAAGCTCAGAACACGTATTTGACTCACAGGCCTATCAAGGTTTTAGATTATGATTTGGAAGGGAGTAAATAATTTAGCATGAGATGCTGGTAAATGAAGATCTGACCACAATAGGATTTCTATAATAGTATGCAGATAATGCTACACTTTCAATGATTGTTTCTTAAATTAATAAAAGAAAATTAATAATAAAACAACAAAATAATAAATAACACTTATTATTATTATTATTATCATCATCACTATTATTATTATTATTATTATTATCATCAGGAATATATAGATAATGGTTTCCCACATTTTAAAATTTAAGTAATTTAAAGTCTCAGAGGTAAATATTTAAAGTCAAAAGGTTTCTGCTGACAAAAAAGTTTGTGAATCCCTTTTATACATAATAATTTTTTTTTATAATATTATGTTTATGTTATTATATAATATGTACAAATATCTGTATTATTTATATTTATTGATATGATTATTCATGTATCCCTCAGTATTCAAATGAAACCTCCACTACTGAAACCAGTGCTAAGGAGATATTTTGCTTGTAGTTGGGCAGGCATTAGTTATGAAGTTTGAGAATCAGTTAATATGTTAATGCCTATGCTTCAGTCACATTTGCATAGTTTCTAGAGTTGCACAATTGGCTTTTTTCATCTCATACAAACCTACAGTTCTTCTTCTGTTATGTGTTAACCATGCATTTCAAGAGTAGGATGATAGTATTTGCATTAAAAAAAAGCTAAAAGGCAAAGACTTTAGATTTGTTCAGAGTGAATGCCAACTTCATGTTCTTCGTAGATTTGGCTGGCTTTCGTTCTGCTGTTTCTTATCGGAGAGTTTGAGTGAGTGGAGAGGAAAGACTCACCCTTCGGAGAGGCAGCTGTGCTGTCCATCTCCCCTCACACAAAAGATCAGAAGCGCTGCCTGGGCCTCAGTCTCCACTGGGATGCCAGCCATTTGATTGTTATCTGTCTATTCAGCTTGTGGAGGTGGGGCCCACCATCACACACCATCCTGGACCAGGACTCTGTTTAATCTGGCTCGCTGTCAAATGAAACTAGCCTACATGTTTGGGTTACTGAGTGAAATGTCCAAGAGCCATTTGTTCTGAAGGAGCCTCAGGCTGCATTAACTGCGGTACCGCGTGTCAGGATTCTGCATCCATACTCGCCTGCCCCCTTGTGGCTGTTAATTTGCAAACCTCATGTGAACAAAGAGCTCTACCACAGTTAGAGAACTTTGTTCCATGACGTCATTTGGATCTGAGATTATCTGTTCAATTAGTTCACAGAATTTCACACTTAAATATATTAATAATCTGACTCGGGATCTGGAACAAAAACGAATGAGGTTTCAAGTTTTTCTCATTAAGCTGATTTGGCTTGCTCAAGTGCAAAGATCTTTTTTGGATAACCATCCCATATCAAACTGTTATTCTTCTCTCCTCCCCCATTCTTTCTCAATGGCTCTATCCATTTTTGTGTCCAGCCTCTGCAGTGAGGTGCATTTGGTCGATGAAGACGACTCATAATTGTGATGTATAATGGCTCCTGCGCTGAGTGCTATGTTGGGGTCAGAGGTCGCGGGGGCAGCGGCGCTGGCTAAAGGGGAGCTGGCACTTGTAGGCACGCTCACGGCACTCACAGCTTTCCTGCTGCTTTCTGTCATGCTGCTGCTGTGTGCAAGCTGCCAGGGGTGAGTATCATTAAAACATTCATATTCTTTTGTACGTCTAATATTTTTATTGTACAAACATTACTTTTTTTTTTCTTGCTGAAGATTGCATAATTTTGCATAATCAGACTTGCTAATAGCTGATACTAATATATGAGAATTATATAATATAAGAATACGAATGCCATCAATATAATAATTGGAACACCATCAATAACAAAGTTCAACACATCCCTCATCTCTGTTTTTACATACTTTGTCTAATTTAATTATGCTTTCTAAACGATTATACTTTCCTCTACTAATATTAGTGTTATGCTCTAATCTTTATTTAACACATTTTACCACAAATCCATTCTGCAGGATTCCACAGATTTTTTTTTTCTCCCCAAATTGGCATGGAAAATGTAAAAAATACCACCTGGACCTGTAAATGAAATGTGCAAAATTATTGAAATTAAATGAACCCTTATTTTACACAATATTTACTCAAAATTTACTAAATCATTTGAAAACAAAGGTGCACTTTGAATACTAACTGTTACTATTAAAAAGGTATTAGTATTAAAAAAAATTTGGATTTCAGTTCTTAATTTTCAGTTGTCTCAAAATGGTAAAATAAAAATGGCAAATACCAAAAAAATATATCGGTCTATCACAAACATTTAGTAGGCCTACATGTCATGGAATTAATTAATTTGCATTTCTTGGCAAGATCAGTTGTAATTTTCCTTTTTTGTTAAATTATTTTTATATAATAATAAGGAATTATATAAGTATTGTCTTAATAAATATATTTTTAATTTTAACGTATAACTGGTAGAAAACTCCCAATGGCTTAATCCTTGATTCAGTACTATATTAAATGTGATTTTAAATGCTTTGCTGTCTAGAACAAGGCTTAGTTTGCATCTTGGAATATGATATTGAATGTTGCCATACAAAGACAAAACAACAGACAATAGATTTAGAGAACACAGCCAAATCTATATACTTAATCAAAATTTCTCAGTAATTCTCTCTCCTTCTGACTCAACAGGCAGAAAAAAGGGGGGCCGCCAGGAGACCATGAAAACCTGATGAATGGGGTAAGAATTGTGCTTCAGTGATGCTTTCCATCCAAGAGATTTAAGCCTGTGCTGCCTCATTGTGGCTCAAACAGAGCCTTACAGAGTCCCTGTGAACCAGTCCTCGTTTTTCATTTCAACATTTTTAATCACAGAGAGTCCCAAGATTACATGAACCATCTTTAGAGTGTTTTAGTCACGAGAATGTGTGACCGCTGTGCTTGGGGGCCTGGTAAAGATGGGAGAACAGAGAAGAGAATGGATGGTCATTGTGAGACCCGGGACTTGTGGGAGGAAAGCATGAAGCAGACAGATTAACATTTTTGTTTGGCCACAGGGAGATGAGAAACTTCATGTATGAGTTGCCTTTCTCTCTGGGTCTGTTGCATTTGAGTGGGTGTTTTCTGTGAAATTATCATCCAAGGACAGAGTTCAAGAGTTCAGGAGATGTTTAGCAGTCAGGAGATTAGTGTGACCTACTGGGGGCATAATTGACTGCTAAAACACACACACACACACACACACACATATGCATGCATTTACACATAAACAGCTGTATAGGCAGGGTCTGTGGGTCTGTTTTATGCTTGAATCGCTCATTGTAACTGGCATTGAATGAGGGGGGCCCGCCAGCATGTGTTCGTGGCTTGTTGACTGACTGTGAAGGCTTGTGGAGCACATACGTACAATACACACAGATCATGAGGCCACCACACAGCCAGATGTTGATTTTATGTTTATTATGTTCGTCGGGTTGCATTTACATCAATTTTATCGTTAGCTATGGAAGCTGCATTTGCATGCTGTGCACTACAGTAACAGCAGCATGAAAGCTGTAAAAATGTCTAAACTGTTTCCTTTATGTAAATGCTGTTAATAACAGTCATTGTTTATGCATACAGTATGACAGAAACTGTTATATCAAGGGCTCTCGACGTTTTGAGGTTTACGACTCATTTTGAATTCCTCAGGAGTAGTTAAATGGCTTGTAGATTACACTAAGAATAACAACACATTTTACTACTTAGTCAGGTTTAATTGTTATTGACTGTACAAGAACTTTAACAAATCATTTGGGCACAGGGATGTAGTGGTGAAAAAGAGGTGGGTACCACTATAAAACCCAGCATCTTGCCACGTATCGGAAAAGAAATAAACCAAAGCATATAGGCTTTTAGATACTCTGAATGTCGAATAACTGAGTGCAGAAGATTGCACTGCCTCAAAATGAAAAGAAATGTAACTTTGTTTTAATCAAGAGAGTGAACTGAAGTTTAAATTTGACAAATTTTCCTATTAAAATGGTCAATGTATGCTACCATTCAAAAGTTTGGGGTCAGTTTTTTTTTTAAACAAAGTAACACATTTATTCAACAAGAATGCAATTAACTGAAGACTTTGACATTGTTACAAAAGATTTATATTTAAAATAAATGCTGTTCAATTGAACTTTCTATTAATCAAGAGTAAAAAAACTGTCTCCACAAAAATATTAAGCAGTGACAAACAGCAAAAAATGTCACCTGAGCAGCAAATCAGAATATTCAAATGATTTCTGAAGGATCATGTGACACTGATGAGACTTCTTTCGAAAACATATAAATCTTATTGTCCCTAAATTTAAAAAAAATAATAATAATGTTATTGAAATAATAGTAATTAATTTATTAGAAGTTAAATCGGAGCAGTTCATAGGTTGAAAAAAAAAACATTTTTAATCAGCTTTGCACTTTGTAGCTTTGTATTGTAGCCAATATTTCTCACATTACATTTTAAGCTCAAGAGGTGCTACATATTTATATATTGGTGTAGTCTAGTTGTCTATTAAACTTGAGTTTGAAATGTGAAAGATAACCGCTTTAGTGACAACATGCACATGGGGCTGAGACCTCAAGGTTGAGACCCTCTGTATTATATAAAGTGAGTATTAATGATTGTGAAATGATTAAGCAAATGCCTGACATTATCTCTCTGTTAACACTGTGAACCTCTGTAGTTTTGATGGATATCTGAATGCTAACCTTTGCACGATAATGTACATCTTGCCTGTCAATATATTGAGGAGGGTTTGATTTAAATGGCGGTGTCTGTCACAGCCTGACAGGTTAAATGGGGTCTTTGTCTTGCTGTGACAATCTGAGTGGCTCTCAGATTTAACCTCCTGTATCTGAAGGACTTCATCACCCTGGCAACAGACATTTCAATGACCTGCCACTAGGTTGTCCCATAGTGCCACTGCATGGTGTTTTTGCTATGGTTTAAAGATGCAAACAAAGAGCTCAATCCAAGTGTCTTTGTCTTTAGTCTCTTTATAGCAGGGGTTCTCAACCTTTTTTTGGTCCATAACCCATTTTTTAAATTTAAATTCTTGCACCCCTCCAGTGTCATAGAATTAACCGTCTCACAAGTGACCAATTACATTATATGGATATGAAGACATTTTACATTCAGTCAATTTTATTATTGACGCTGTAACTATAAGAAATAATCAAAAGTCTAGCATGTATCTCATCTTGACCCCTCAATCTATGACAACTCTGTGTGTTTTTGTGACCCCAAGGTTGAGATCCTCTGCTTTAGCTTGCAGTCTGAAAGTTTATTGCATCACTAAATAGTATTTAGCTCACATATAGTGCATAGGTAACATTTTCTATCCCATTTCCCTGCAGGTGTCAGAAAAGGAAGTATGCAGCCAGTCAGTAGAGAGCCATGGTACTGACTTGGCGGTCAGCAGCTCTCATAATGGGCCTCTTACAAGTGGTACAGGTAACAGTTCTACAGCAACATATCCCTGACTGTTTGTAACTGACTATAGCAGATGGTCACACTCTTTCCACTTACCTTTCGTCATCAGTACTAACAGACACGATGGACACAAGTCCCCAGCCTTCAGAAGACATGCTGTCCAGCCAGTCAGAAATCAGATCCTCTAAGTATCACCAGGACCGCGAATTACCCAGCATTCCACCCACCGATACCCTCAAAGCAGCCATCGATGCTCAAGTTCCCTCAGGAGAAGGCACGTATGAGGTGGTGAAGGACAGCGCCTCCCGTGATGTCAGTGTTGAGGACTGTCTGTACGAGACGGTGAAAGAACTTAAGGACATTGGCCTCCCCAATGGTACACTAAGCCCAGAGGAACCACCTGCACCTCTTCTTAACGGCCACCCAAGCCCCGCTACACCAGACCACACCATGCTGCCCAATGGTGTGGAGTATGCCTCTGTCAACCTCAGCAAGAAGAGCCGCTACAGCACTGACATGGAGGCCAGGCACTCAGCCGCCTTTGTGAATTTTGAAGAGCCTGAGGATGAAAAACCACCTCCTGTTCCAGACAAAGTACTGGATGAGAATGACAACCAGCAGATTCCGAATGGACAGGTGGGGCTACCAAACTCTCTTTCTTATAAAAGTACCGTTGTTGTCCTGTAGAGTAAACTGTAGAGTACAGTTCCTTGCATGAATCCACATTATCACAAGTCATAACATACCTGCATCTGTTTTGCCTAGCAGAAGCTGTACAGGTACTGGATTTTGTTGATAGTCAGTACTACTGATACTTTAGAAGGACTGTTATCATTTAATTTAAGTATCATCTATGCAAAGTACCAGTAAGTTGGTATCCCTATACCTTAGGGGTAGTGTAGGAGTGTCCGATCCTCCTCCTGAAGGGCACCTTCCTGCTGGGTTTAGCTCCAGCACACCTCCTTGGAAGTTTTTTTGTCGCTGTGCTCAAAACTGTGCATTGTAAGAATAGGTACTACATTTGGATAAATTATTTTGTGACGTCCGGACGTACTACATCCACCACTGTCATGCGACTACAACTTCAGTCATTTCACTTCTCCAACTTTTATGAATCCTCTCTCATGTCTCTCTCATGGATACCACTTTTTGCTTACTACAGTATATGGTAGGGAATAGGGGTGTTGCAATATATTAATATTGACAATTGACTTTTTTCCCCAAAAAATTTCTAAAATCGTGACAACCCCGTAGGGAAATTTTTCATATTTGTATGCGACAAGTAATCTCAAAAATCTTGATCGATTGGCTGGAGTAGCATGCAAGTCTCATGGTAAATTAATATGGTAATCACCCAGTACCATTTTAGAGTTTAATACCATTTGATACCATTTTAAAGTTTCATACCATTTGATACCATTACCCTGGTACCACCACAGTACTGTATTTGTAAGGTTCATTAAGGGGTTAAAATAGTTAATACAACATCAGTTGCTCTCCTGCAGTAATCATTTCCTTTATCAGGAGCTGCTCCATCTCACACAGAGTGATGTAACCCTTTGACACATATAATTGAGAACAAAGAAGAATAATCTCAGAAACAAACCAAAAAGAACTGCACCAACATTCTCCAGTGCCAGCTAAAACGTAGAGACTGCAAGAGAACAACATTGTGTTTCCAGTTTAATTACAATCTTTTAGGATATGTGCTCTGGTTGACGGTGATACATATGTGTGCCTGTAGCATACAAATGAAGCTATCTGTAGAGGAGAGCAGACTGGCTGCTGTTGCGCCCGCACTCAATGTCTGCACACGGTGTGAGCATCCACTACAGCTACACGTTACTGTCACCAGTCGAGGACGCTCTGCACCTCCTTTGTTCATCACTGCCTCTTGCACTCTCGCTCTGTCAATCTCTCTCTCTTTTGCTCTAATGTTCGCTCTCTCTCCTTTTGTTGTTCTCATTTAGTGTTTTTTTGCCCTGTATTTCTGCTTCCTTTGTCCTTGTACTCAAGATCAGTTATATGTCTTTTCCACCAAAAACGGTGCTAGATCTCATGCTCGGTCAGAGATCTACTCAAAACTAACCCATGCTTCTGCTGACCTGAGAGGTGCATTATGACACAATGTATTATTTATGTTACTATATAACTTGCCCACAGATAAGCATAACACATCACAGTCTGTTTAAAAGATTTGAGAACACACTTTAACATTCAAAATGCATCGTTAGAATTTATAACGAATACATTTACAATCAAGCAATCAGAATCCACATTTGATATTTGTAAACAAAATAATTTTAGTCAGATTGAGAAGTAGTGTCTGATACGACACAACATACAGTACATAGGAATGGGATGTTCACCAACTGAACAAATTTGAATGCTAACAGTAAGCAATTAAGTTTTGTTGCGCGGCGCCTCAGATTTGCCAAAAGTGAGTTTCCAAACATTGCCACCCATTGGGCTTCTGATGTCAATAGTTTCTGATTCAAAACCAGCAGATTTTAGGGGCCAGTGCAGAGCCAATTTTGCCCAACCTTTCTGCAGTGGAAATGTGTTTAAAGGGGTCATATGATGTTGCTAAAAAGAACATTATTCCAGATTGGCCAATGGATTTGGCAACAGCACTGGCACTCTTGCAGTGGTACTAAGTCAGAATCACTTACTAGCACCCTTTGGGGTAAAGTGTCTCCTGCTACACTGTGGGTTTAAACTTGACACCTATCAATCCAAATCCCATTCCCTGTGGCCTGATGTAGATGTGTAATGGGGCAGCAGTGATTCATCTTATCGGTCACATGTTTGTGTGTAACATATACACATGGGGATCAGTGCGTTCCAGCTGTCCACTGTCTGACAGCTCACCCTCATGATGAATGAGACGGCAGAGCATGTTTACAGGTACATCAGTCTGTGTTTAAGCAAGAGAATCATTCAGTTAAAGTTGGGACAGCCAAACTGACAAGCTCATGCTGTAACGCATGCACACACACATTGCCTCATTCACGGGGTGGACTGCACTGTATGTATGTTTAAATGAATGAATGAGGCATTTATATAGCGCTTTTATTGTGTATTGCTGTACACCCAAAGCGCTTTACAATCATATGAGGGGGTCTCTCCTCAACCACCACCAGTGTGCAGCATTGGTTATTTGAGCGAAGCACGCAAGCCTGGCTTCAGCAGAGTGCCATGTGTGTCATTATGCATTGGTGCCACTGTCACTATGCTAGCGTCATGGACTGAGGGCAGCTGTCTTAGATAAACTGTGATTTCAGCACATCAACACTCAGAAGTCTCCTGCTGAAGGGAAGGACTTTTATTGTTAGCACTGATGCCTTGTCAAAAGATGCGTGGGCACATGCTGACAACTGCGTAAAAGCAAATACTAATCGACACCACTGAGAGCAGCATTACAGGCCATTGCCTCACGCCCAGCCGTACTGTCAGCATCCTGTCACAGTCAGGGTATGATCTAATGTGAACTTCACAGGGTATTCAGCCATTGGGGTATTCAAGGGAATGTATGTGTTCAGTGTGAAGGGCACTGCAAACTGATTATTAGGGAAATCACACAACAGTCATTGCATTCCACCTCAGTACTATGCAAAATTTGGCTAAAATAAATGACATTTTTATTTAGCTTGGTCCACTTCAGGTCTCTACGCAGGTGTTTGAGGGTGTAGTCAAAGTCCCTTCAAGGAGAGTCGGTTCACTCTGCGGCCAAATTTGCAACACCTCCAGGCAGCTATTTCGGTCATGCAAGACCAACTTCTATCTACTTGAATGGAGAAATAGCAAAAACTGCTTGCTGAACTCACATTTAAATAATGTATTTCAATTCAGCAATAAGAACTGACATGAACTGTCCAATAAATGTTGTTCCTTATGCTCAAATATAAAAAAGTGCATGTTTCAGGTTGGTCTAGCAAATGTGCATGTGCAGTCCTATGCAGACCGTTTTCATGGGAACTGGAACTTCTAACAACAACTGCTGTGATGCAATGACTTTACCAATCAGTGACTGGCTCTTTTATTTACAAGGTGGGACTTATTCCACCATATTGCACATTGCACTTTTTTCAAATTCATAGTAATATGCGTGAATTGTCTTGGTGTGTGTGTGTGTGTGTGTGTGTGTGTGTGTGTGTGTATGTATAACAGTTAAGAAGATGCATACATATAAACTTCATACATTTATTTTCATATTAAATATTATCACTAAATTTACATTTATTTCAATATAAATAAATAGTATAAATAGTGTATATTAGTAATAAATAGTATAATATTTAATATATATTTAATGCAAATGCATGCATGCATATATGTATGTGCATGCATACAGTGTGTGTGTGTGTAATGATGTCATCATCACACACAAAAATCTTAATCTATATGACTGTCTGTGTGATGACGTTGCAGTACGTTTTAAATGCTTCCGATAGTTATTAATTTCTTATATGGGCAAATCAATGGAAGAGACACTTTAATTGATATAGAGGGCTGGATAGAGTGAATTAGCAGATAAGCCCTATTGAAAGAGACATTTGTTAGTTGTGATGAGGTCAGGGGTGTCTTTGCGGAGCCACACGGATGGGCTATTAAATTAATTGCTTTGCTAATTAAACCAATATCAAAGCACATCTGGCGAGTCCCTGATGCACATTCTGGGCAATCATATCAAAGCAAAGCATACCTCAAGTTCACGGGGTGAGATGGCTTCATCAAAACAGGCTTGAAATTTTGGCTCTAAAACATCAGCATTAATCTTGAATGGGTTATAGCAAATTTCCCGCTTGACTGTAATCTCTCTGTCTGTGAGGTGACTGCGACAGGGATTGATATTCTTCTCCAACAGCCAAGGTGTCTGTTATTGATCTTCTGTAGGATTTACTTTGTTAATTAATGACTCTGTTATTGATTCTCTTTGTAAATATACAACCGCTCTTGCTAGGAGAGGAACTGTACATTTGATTTCAATCAGTAACTCTTAAGTAATGAATGAGTGGCTTCGTTTTTTCATCAATCAGTCCTTGACATTTAGCATGTGTCAGCTGAAGTGAGCCATTTCCTATGCTGCTGTATGTTTAACCTGATTAAATATGAAACGTTTTTAACTAATGGTCTTGTTTCATTCATTGTCCTTCAGTTACACTCCCCGCTGACGACTCCAACGCCTCAGGACAATGTGTCTCCGGACAGTGAGGTAGGCTCAGCATCAGCATTTGTAAAGACCAACTTGAAGTCTTTGCAGTTTTTACCAATAATAATATTTGCAAATTAATATTGCACTGAACCAAGTCTGTGGAGTAAAGATGTCTAATTCTCTGTAATTCCAGTTATCAGACATGTACTCCAAGGTAGCGAAGAATACTATAAAGGAACCTGAGAATGACTACAGCAGCATCGGGGAGATGAAGGGAATGGTGGCAGAGTCGACTTCCAGTGATCTTTACGCCACGGTTGGGGATGAATACCCAATGGCTCTTGGCTCCCAGCCTCCAGAGGGGCTTACAGAGAATGCAGACCCTTGGTACGAGACCATCAAGATCTCCAAAGCATCTGAAGAGGCTCATCAGGGCAATGGGATAGTGGAACCTGACTATGAGAGTGTGGGGGAACTGGGTCTCAACGGGGAGATCTCCTGTCTCTGACCACTCAACTAAGGGACTGTGGACACTGAGAAATCACTTCTCTGAGGTTTAGAAGTGGAAGTTTGAGTGGTATCACGAGTATAATGCACTTAACCTTTCCTGATTTAATGTTTTTGAGCATAGCATTTATGCACCGCATTGTTTTTGAATATTATAAATGAAAGGGTTCATTCAGACCTGTGACCCAGCACAGGAAAATAAACACTCTATAGTCACTCAGAAGAGGGCCTATTTTGTCCCCACACATTATGAAATAGCTTGCAGTAGGGATTTATCTAATACAAAGACGGCATCTCCATTTGTTGAGCGGGAGTTTTCTGAGCAACTACTCTGTGCTAGCATTTGTTATTTTTAATGTTTTGCTGGGCTGTCGATGTGGGCAATGATGGCAGTTGATCACACCTGCTCTAATCGCTTTCCATGGCTTGTTCTCATTCTATTGAAATCACAAAACAAAATGCTAACAAAAGTATCCCACTACTGATATCCACTAATGTACAGCTGTAATTATGGTTTATTAAAATAAAGAGTTACATTAGGGGGATTAGAACCCAAACCCCTCATACAAAGGAATACTGCTAGTACTACTAGTAATACGACCAAAGATTAAAAATTAACATATGTATGAATATTAAGCCAATATTAAGCCAGAATAACTGCTGCATTGTGAGAATGTAACAACACAAATGTGACTGAAATGAGTTAACATGATGTGAAGACATTTATAATGCTAATGTTATTTCAGATTTGATATAAAATATCAGTATATCACAGACTACTTATCAGGATAGTAAATGATCATGTTTAATTATCTTTGCATATCCTAATTAATATACATGAGCTAAGCCTTCACCATTTTGTGACATAACAAGCAGCACATCTGTGCAACCCCCTTCCCACATGTCTCCACCACTTTTCAAAACAAAGTGACACCAATGGCTGTGCTCTTACGAGAAATATTTTATTCATAATGTGTATTAGTAGTTTCCACGCTTTTGCACGCTGCACCTGCTGTGAGCTCCACTCTGCCTGCCTGTTTTCACGTGATACTAGTTGAGCAACTGACAGAGTTGTGTCCTTATATAACCCCGAGAAGAGAACCAATCAGATCCTGTCAACAGCAGACCTCTCAGCTCAGTCCATTAAGGAACTACACTCATTTTAATCATTCAGAACTGCTGGAGCATTTACTTTCACAAGTAGTAAGCAAGTGATGTGCACATAACGCACATCAAAATATAAATGAGGAACAGTTAAATGTTGCCATCATTCTGAGCCATTTAACTTGTTTATATTCAATATGTCAAATCACAGGCTCTGGTGAGGAAGTGACCTTTTAGGTACGCAAAGTTACGCACACTCATTTATGAGTGTACTAAAAGGGTATTAATGCCATGTTGGCCATTATCTATTGCTGGTGTGAGTTCACATCTTTTCAATTGTTCACTTATTGCCATTTCTGATGTAATTGAGCTATGTTTTATCAATATGTATGTGTGATTTTTTTTAATTGACGCAGCTGTATTGATTGAGTATCAGATACAGTATATATTTCAGATATTGTTTGGTTTTTACATGTAATAGGTACGCAACATTTCAAAAGGCTGAAAAGCACAGGGGAAAAGAGACATCTTTTCAAGGTACTGCCACACTGCAGCTTTGCCTGGCAGCTTAGTAAATGTACTTTATTATCAGGTATGCATTTAGCTGCTTTTACATTCATGTAGCAGAATAATCCAAAAAGCATAGCGCATCCAGACGCTGCATGGGACAACTTCATGCCAAGAGACACTTGTAAATATTCAAAAGACTATTTTGATCTGTTAAATTATGTCAATATGTAATTATAGTTCTGTAATAATTGGCAGCAGCTCTCAAATGACAGCACGTGGAACTTTTATAGTTTGTTTGTATTGAGGAGCTAATGAAACTTTAAGAGTCAGTGGAATGCATGCTGTTTTCTAGATGCATTTTTAATTAAAGAAAGTTTAAAGGAGGTTTATTCACATTTAAAAGGCTAATAACAGGAATATGAATTGCTTTGTAGTTCTTTAGCACTATTTAAAATGTGAGGTTTAATTAAGGACTGTGGATGGAGTCCAGATGTTGTCCGTGTTTGTTTGTAATGGTGTTGGTACAGGTTTCATATTGAGAAGATCCTTGTTTTATTTAATATCATGGTGAAACATTGAACATTTGGTTTCTTCCTCTAACTAAATTCGGTGTATTAAGTTGTAAATAAGAATGAATTTTGCATTTGTTTATTTCATCATAATCTTTGTATTGTGGTATTTGCTTATTAAACAATATAGTCATGCTGGACTAATAATATAATGTGTGTGCATGTTTATTCGAATCAACTGATGCTAATGTGCGTGTGTGTGTATATATATATATATATATATATATATATACATTAGTATCATTTTTTCTTAATAGTGCTATATTTACATGGCAATCTTAGTAAGACAAGAAAGGACATTTATATTGGCTTAGTGCACAAAAACACAATATAATCTCTTGATATTTAATCTGTCAATACATTCTACTAAACTAAATTCTCAAGTGTAGAAAAACAACCTTCAATAAGGCGGTTTTATTATCATGTCAGTACACTGGTATTAGGGGACTAACATATTTCACTGTACAGCCAGCCAGCTATTGATTGAACCTGTGGTCAAAGCAACATGCATTTTCAATGCAAGTGCTAAGGGAGCGGTAGCAAACGAGGGCATTAAATTGATTTTTTATTTTCACTTCATAAAGATAAATTGTTTCTTAAAAGATTAAATCTTTTCAGTCATGCCTTAAGGGGTTATTCCTATAGACAGTTTGTTATAAGCAAATCAAGCACAGCGTAATTATGTTATACTTTGAGAGGCTATGCGAGTGGTGCAGTTCTTTGATCAATGCTACAATCGATTCAGAACTCACACTGACAAGCATATACAACATGTACATGTTTGTGTTTAACCACACAAAGGTAAAAATGTTCAGTTAAGGCTTATAAAGTATATAATGCACGATTGAAACTTGATTGTTTCCATGTGACTGTTTGAACGTTATTTCAGTATAGTCAAATAAGGAAAGAGACACATCTCTCTTCATTATAGTACCTGTTTGGGATACAGTTACTTTCAGTGTATGTGCAAGTACCTCAATTCAAGTTTTTGATTAGTTTGCGACCGACAGTAGTCTACGTTACATTGATATTATTCGTCATAATACATTTTAAGGGAGTAACATGATGTTAGTCTGAATGATAAAGTCATTTTCTCTGCCCAAAAAGGCCTAAACAGTACCTCAAAATATTAGTCCAAATGCATGTTATTTAGAAGGTGAAAAGCACCTGAATGGTCACCTGAATGACAAGATTCTCAAATGCACATCCAATAGAGGTTTAGCCAGAAATAATTATCATGTTAATATAGCGAGTGAGGCTGTTATTCTGCCATCTCCTGTTGTGTTCTATGGAAGAAAGAAACACAGGTTTGGAACAACATGAGAATGACTAAGGCCCGTTCACACCAAGAACGATAACTATATTAGTATCCACACCAGCGGATGATATCGTCTGTTTATTCCAAGCGCACGCTCGTCTGCCCTTTAAACTCTCGAGCTCGTTATAGCAGGATTGATTCTGATTGGCTGTCAATATTTTTATCGTTCATCAGCTGGAAAAAAATCGTTCTGAAAGAGACTTCAACGATATTGTTTCGCTGTGCATTTATCGTTATAACTGTGGCGTGGACTCTGCTATTCTTTAATATGGAGAACGATTTTTAGAACTATATATTTATCGTTATCTTTATAGTTATCGTCCTTGGTGTGAACAGACCTTAAAGGGATAGTTATATATCATATGACGCTATTTTAAAGATCATTATTTTGTGTATTTGGTGTAACAGAATATGTTGACATGCTTTAATGTTCAAAAAACACATTATTTTTCAAATACTGTATATTATTGGTCCTCTATGCCCCGCCTCTCTCAAACACGTAGTTTTCAACAAAGTTTATATAAATATTTTAAATATTTTATCTTTTAAAATATCTAGTTTTACCATCAGTTCAAGCCCGAAAGGGCAACAGAGTCGCATGACAGACACAGTGATGATGCAGTACACGTGGATACACTGTTTACGTAGTTTACACTTTGATTTGAACAAAAATAACGTATCCGCGTGGCACAGCTGACACAAAACAGCATACACAATTTACGTTCAGTGGATACTCTCCAAAATGGCGCTAGGGTGATGCGGAGGAGACAAATTGTTGAATAAAATCTTTTTTTTTTTCTTTTGCGCTCAAAAAGTATTCTCGTAGCTCGTAAAATTATGATTGAACCCCTGATGTCACATGAATTATTTTACCAATGTCCTTGCTACATTTCTGGACCTTGATCGTGTAAGGACCCTTGCTGGGAGAGAGCTCTCAGATTCCATCAGAAATATCTTAATTTGTGTTCCGAAGATGAACGGAGGTCTTACGGGTTTAGAACGACATGAGGGTGAGCAACTAATGACAGAATTTTTCATTTTAGGGTGAACTATCCCTTTAACTGAAGATTACCCCTTTAAGACGTCAAAAATAGAAATATGTCAACAGCGTTTCCTTCTTCAACATAAATCATGTTTAAATATTTGCATTATGGTTAGAGTCAGACAAGTTTATGTTTTGGTATGTGACGACGACGAGTGATTTTCCAAAAACAGTTATTCTACTACTGACAGGTCCCACCAGAGGACCCTCGGGAATCCCTGCCGCCTGTCAATCATTCGCGCCGGGTCACACACAGACGCCTATGACCCTGCTTTGCCGGGATATTGTCATCACTGTTATTAATGTTATGAACATTGACCGGCCTACCTAAATAATAACTACTCAAAGACTCTCTTTTCTTCATGCTTGCGTCATTGTTTTAATCGCAGCAGCGCCCGTTACTTGCGTTTGGAGGGAAACTGCAGGAGAGCGCGAGCGTTAGCGAGTGGAGGCGTGTGTGCCGCCAGCCAATGAGAGCGCACACTGGCTGCGCGAGCGCACATGTTCACAGGCGACATTCCGCCGGTACAGCCAGTGGCTTCGGAAAACTCGGATGGAATTTTCGGAATGGAGTCTTTCGCACACGAAACCGGATTTACGGCGATAAAGGGTGAAAACTGGCTAATAAAACAGCACCCTCGACACTGGGGACGCCAGTTTATATTATTATATTAATCAAATTTCTGGAGGTGCGCTCTTCGGTGATTTATCACATAAATGCTCGTGGTGTGTATTGTGAAAAATACATCGTGTTCATCGACCCCAAACTGCTGCTCCGCTCCGTGTTTTACCACAACCCGTCAGCTATAAGGGAACGGCAAGCAAAACAAACAGGTCGACAGAAGAAAAATATCGGTTGCCGGTCGGTCCTTCGGTCGGACGGTCAGAGAGCTTATCAAGCGTAGCTCATTTGCATGTTGTAACGGTTCGCTGGTCTCGTGTCCCGAACATGCGCGCTGACGCCGGTGAAATAACGTTATGTGGATGCGGTCCAGATCTGTGGTAATGTTGTCGTATTATTCCCATGGTCGGCCCATTATGACGGTCAGTCCGTTCGGGTTTTGTCAGCGTGACATTTCTTGTTTTTGAAGCGACATTGCAGTGCAAAGATCGAAGTAATTGTATTCGCGCATTTCATTGATATATCAACTATGCATACGCGGCGGCTGGTAAAGCGTTCGGTCATTGGGAGCCGCGTGTACGCGCCGGGTTTAACGGGAGACGCGGCTCCGCTCACGGGAGTGATCCAGGCTGTCAAACATGACAACAGAGATGCTTCGACCGGCCATCGGCGCAACGTGTACACGGTGCTCATGCAAGACGGGAGCTTGAAAGAATACACCGAGGAAGAGATTGCACAGATGACTGCGAAAGCACCGCTGAAGTCGAGCTTGAAGGTTTGTATATGTGGTCAGCTGGGCTTCTTGTTGTTGTTGTGTTGCTTGTTGCACACAGAGAGATTGTTTGTTTGATGGTTCAAATAGTTCTCATCTGAACGTGTGAGAGTATATTGCAGTAATGATGCAGATGCTACTAGGTAGTCGTTGGCTCCACGTGAAACATTTTGGGGCCACATTACTTCATAGTTGCAAAATTGTAGAATCGCTCGATACAGATGGTCGTTCAGAAGCGCCGGTGTCCGTGCTCACAATCTAGTGCATTAAACTCTGACACTTTTGGTCTCTCCATTGTTAGATGGAAACAGTTGCAAAAGACTGTGAACTACATATGAATTGGAAATGTACTTTGATTGCATATCGTCTTTACTTTTTAACCTTTTAAGTTTAGACCATTTGACGTTCACTGTACTGTGATGAAGGGTCTATCTATAAAAACATGGTGCTTTAGGAACAAAAACTGGCTGAAATTAGTTAAACTGGTATTTTTCTAGCTGTATTTATGAGTTTGTTTTTGGAATGATGTCATTCCTGACTGTATTTGTGCAATATAAATATCATGCTATTTTGTAAGAATATTTGGAAAACAATTCAAATGTCACTCATCGTACAGTCTTACCAACGTTCTCCTTTCAGCGCGAATCAGATGCTTGAGGATGTCATCATTAAGCATTTTATGTTTTTTTATGGCATTTTATATATATATATATAATTGCAGTATGTTAGAAAAAATATATGTATATTTATTTATTTTGTAATGTATTACTTTAATACAACAAATATTAACGATAAATAACTAGTGTTCGAGGGAGTCAACTCAGTGACGGCTCTGAATGATTCACTATATATTCAAATCGCTACGGGAACTCAACTCTTCTGCTTCGTGAATCTTTTCACTAAAAAGAACCGGTTCATAAGAGTAATTTGTTGGAGAATCGGATATCTCGCGCTGTTCAATACATTCAGCGAACACAACGCAACAGAAAGATGCGAAGTAGCGGTGCTGGAAACACTTGACTAAATGGATGTAATTAAACTATCGCCCGATCACGTGATGAAATCTGACTAAACCGCATATGGACAAACACAAAGTTTCCCCGACTGACTAGATTTTAAATTATTGTCATAAATGAGACTTGTTTTGTTGCATTTGTGGCCGTTGTAGTCGAGGTCTGTAATGTAGGGCTGTGTACGCCGCTGCGTTTAGTGGGTGGATAACCGTGGCAAACAAACACGCTCTGCAGCATTCAGGCGCCAGCAGAAGCATCTGTGCAACAGCCTCCACCTCTCTGCTGCAACCGGCTCTTTCTTAGTGCGTTTTTTATTTATTAATTTTTTTTTTTTCTGTGTTTTTGACATTCATGGCTAGTGCAGTGATCGTATTTTTGTGAATATGTCTTTTGATATTTAATTAATGCTCAGAACAAGCTCCTTTTATTCACTTAACTCCGCGTGATTGCACACTTAGGCTGAGTGAGTTGCTTGCACGTAATTGCAAAATACAAAGTTTTTTTTTTTTTAATAATGACCTAATTGCAGTCATCAAGTTATACAGCCTGAGGTGCCATATCAAAACAAAGAGGGTCAAAATGACAAGAATGGCACCAGCTCTACATTCTTTAACAACCAGAGCTGCAAGACTTGCATGGAAATTATTAAAATAAATTAGAATAAATAACCAAATAAGTATAATACCTGAAATTTGCATGCTATATTTGCATACACATTTTATTTGCTTGCTGCTGTACATTTGATGTTTGTATGTGCTTGTTTTTGGCGAGTATGGCAACTCCCAATCAGACATCCATTTAATTTTTAATCAGTTCCATGCACGTTTTACTCAAGCAACTATTATATACATCACATGCTACCTATTCTCTGGTGACATATGATGGGGAAAAAGTTAAGATGTAAGCAATGCAAGCAAGAAGGGATGTGAAACTAAAGTGGGGGCTAATGGTCCCGGAGCAGCTGCTCCATAACGGCAGCAAAACTCTACAGAGGGTCGTGCTCATGGAATCTGGGGCTTTGGCAAGGCGCCTGAATTCCCAAACAAGTGTCATTCGGCTTGAGGGAATGCCACTTGTTGACTTGCATAGTAAGGAGGGGCTTCGTGTTAAATGGTTACAGTGTGGCATTTTCAGACAAAGGCGGACTGGATTGTTTTCATTCCCCTGTTGTTTCCACTGCTTAATATCAAAATTTAATTAACACGCAGGCTGCCTAACAGTCTTAACTCTTTATGCACCAAGGCTTTGTTGCTGATTTACAGTTTATTCACATGAAATGTTGAGGATTTGGTCATGATGAATGCAAGCTCATAATTACTTTTATAGTAGATATCTCAAACCTTAAAGTGCAGCATCTCACATGTGAACATGCATTGTGTGTTTGTTTTTCTTGTGAATATTCAAATATAAATTAATAATTTGTAGATAATTAATTTCAAGTGCTCATCATTGTGCATCCTGCTCTCAAATCTAATTAATTCTGTTATTAGATCAGTCGAGATCTGTTTAAATTGATTAAAATCCTCTAACTCTTCAGCAAAAACAAGATCTCATTTGAATAGTTTGACTGGCACATGAATTGTGACCCATACACAAAGCAAGGGTGTGTGTTTGTGTCTTGAGAGAGAAAGACTTAATAGTGTGTGAAATTTAAATTTGAACTTGTCAACTGTGCAGTTTTGATTTGACGCTTGAAAGTCTTGCACAACATGATACCGCTTTAACAAATCTGTTCATCTCATGAAAACACGCCAAAGCCTGGCATTCTTCTTGTACATGGAATAGTATTATTCCTGCCCTATGGGAGGTTTAAAGAAAGATTTCACCCCAAAAAAAAAAAAAAAAAAAACATTTA